AAATTGCTTAGTGATAAATGTGCACCTGATATGCAATCATTTTTCGTGTCTTCCAGAACAGAGAATTTATGGGGACACTGCAAAAACGTCCACAAGCGCAGAACAAACTACTTGTCAGCTAACGATCGACGTTCCCATTGAATCATCAACGGGCGGGATTCATTACCTCAGAACATGGTTGAGGCTCCATCGATCGACTCTTTCAAAAGAAAGTTGGATTAACTGAGAGACCATCATTGCCAAGACTGATACAGGTCATCAATCAGGTAGCCTAGATATTCAGGTAGGCCACTGAATTCATATGAAGCCTTGAACTAGATACAAAGGATCTGTCAGTTGGTAAAAGGAACAACTTTGGTAATGATATGTTATTCAGGTAAAAGTAAACTGATGAGAAAGTCTATCGATAGCAATCTGAACTAATCTAAAGGACATGCCAAGCCCATCAGCTTTAAAATAGACCAGTTGCCTGAAGGTTAGAGTGGCATATATATAAATGAGTATTTGTGCATATTTTTCGGTAGCCTAACGTAATTTGTGTTCCCGCTCAAGTAGTCAGCTGAGATTAGCTTGTGGCATATTTTATCGGCATCAGTTTTCGGATATCACCTGTGAATACAGATAACATAAATGGAGCTCATGTGAGACGCGAAGCAGAAAAATGACTCAGTATCAGATGTCCGATGATTATATACATCTGATGCTAGCAACGTCTTGTTTTAAATGAGTTCAGCAACTTTAGAAATCTAAAACTTTTGAGTCCACTGATGGTTGTGATTTAGTCACGTCAACTCCAGCCATATTCCATCAAGTTATAAATGCGATACTTATGGATGTTTCGGATGACTTGATTTACATAGATGGCTGTAGCTAGTGCTGATACCTGACTGTCTGAATAGCCAGAATCCTGTTGACAGGCTTTTGAAAGTATGGATTTTAGTTTCATCTACTCACATATAATTTATTTGGCACTTTAAAGGCTTAATTTACTTGTGATGTCAACTATGTCGTGTGATTTCATGATCTACAAGTTCTAGATCTTACATGGAAGTCACATCATTGTCCACACTGACTCAACGCACTTAGGCTAGAGATAGTTCAATATATTTAATATGAATAAAAACGTTAAGTTACACAAAATGACCACGCCTGCAAGGCTAGGCCATGCCATAAGATTGAAGTGAATTGAATATTTCCACGTACCCTATTTATAGCTTTTATTAACATTGCATGTTGAAAGTCTATTTACCCAGTTATCTCATGTTAAGCTTTGAGGATTATGGTTAGAACCAGTACCACTACTTGTCAAAGCATACCATTTAAGAGACAATTAGTATCAGAATGTAGAATGGAAACTTCAGTTAGGCCGTAAAGATCAACCTAGGGACCCAGGTGTTGAGTAGTTTATATTCATTTTCGGTGAGAACTTTTGATGAGGAGATAGTCAGGAGACATTTCAGAAGTAGTTTCGTCAATGACTTTTGTTTAACAATAATAACTTTGTTTTAGTAGTTGTATTCACGATGTTGACGATGTAATGCCTCATATGTATGAGGTTACACATATTTAAAATAGAATGAGTGAAATAAATTACAGTTAAAGGAATGCGGATACTTGATCAATATTCACCTTGACACAAAACAGTAAAATACTTGATAGTTGGTTAAATATATGTTTTACGATTAAATTTATACGTCTATTATATTTAGACCACTATTGAAAACCTGGGAACCCCGGACGGCTGTTTCAATCTAGTATGGGACTCCTAAGCAGTGCGCATCCACGACCTTGCATGTGAGACTCGAACCCAGGAATTTCGGCCTCGATCGCGAATGCTTAACCCACTCAACCGGCATCCAACAGTGGTAATGTCTAACTTCATTCGAACCATGATCTTACAGAATCATTCATCCATTGTCTGAGATAGATACCTGCCTTTATTCGGCACGAATTGGGACCCACTGGTAACAGTTTCTTATTAGAACTACAGGAGATCCATGATAAAGTCAGTCACTAGTGAGCAAATAATGATAATATCAGAATATAGGTTTATGAAGATTGTAATAATTTTAATAGTTGGATGGTGGTTTAGCTCATATCGACTAACGAATTGAACTACCAAAATCACTACAATCTACACAAACCCTCATTCTGATAATAACAATTGTCACAATTCAAGTTTCACTTGATTTTGTGTTAATAGAACTGAAAATGTTAGCATTCAACAATGCGCTCGAACTTGACGTAAGCATGTATATATATACTCAGTCATTATGAAGCAATAATTCCAAGAGAGGGCTTGTAACAGCTTAGGTTGGTTGGTTAAGAGTTCACCACAGACAACTAAGCATATGTCAAAACAATATAGTTAAAGTGTTCATTCACTTCCTTATTTTATATGGGCGTTATATTTCCTATTATCGTATATTGAATGTTGAGACTTTGTTTGTCTTAACAAATAATCCCACGCTCCACTGTGCCAGCGCGAAAATCTGAAAAAGGACCTATTCACTACTTGTATGGTTTCTTCTATCATTACCACAAGGGTTAACTAGAGGCACAAAACTGGTGAGCCCGACGTGGAAAATTTTTTCGGAACTTCAACGAGAGGCTGTGGAATTACAATTTGCCTGAGCCTCAGTTGTTTTTACCACTTTCTCATGTATTCTATACGAAATAAAGACGTTATTACTTAAAAGGTTCTGTGAGCGTGTTACATTAATCTAATCTTCCTTTAACGATATATGCGCATCTCATAATACAGAGCTGTCAGATCTGCATAATCGTCTAAAGTAAATTGAGTGTATTAAAGATCAACAATAGGTACAATAAAGGGGAAACAGTACTGCATAAATGTCCTGTTGAATGGAGTTAGTGTCCAACTCTGAACATGTCAAACTAAGGTCTGCAGTTCAAAGTCATGAATAATGAATCACATTGTCGAGGTAGACCTTTGGGTTCTCTTCTAATTTTAGTAACTAGAGTTTACTGTTGTATCAAAGAGTTTGACTAACTTGGTACATTTTAAGGCAGAAGAACAGGTAGATAGACGAGCTTATTCTGTTTATGGAAAATCATCAGGCTAAGCGAAGTACACAACCTTTGCTGAGCCTTGCTTTGAGGCACAATACTGTCAAAGATGTCACAGATATTGGTGTTTGACAAGACATCTGTCCATTTTAACTTTATGATTAAGGGCTCAAAACCCTGTCAAATCCGAAGTCAGGAGTTAAGGTGTTTATAGACATATTTGGCAGTTACTCGATATGTGATCTAAGCTCGCGGGTTGTTAGCAGCGTGCAATGCGGCATATTAAATGGTTGTCGCCTCTTAAAAGTAATGAGGTCGGCATCAATATCGAAGACTGTATATTCTGGGGATTTTTTCGACACCATACTGTTGCTTTTTATTTTAATAAAACAGTGTCAACTCTTTTAAGATATGATGAAATGTTTAGTAACGGTTGCTCTTGCTCGGAGGCGAAAACTATGGAAGTTTGGCTTCACAGGCTGAAAATTTCTCCCTAGTAAGAAAATATCAAGGATGGCATTACTACGACACGTGGAAACTTACCTTCAACAAACTCTTTCAGCCCAAATCAAAAGAATCACCATTTCAAACGCAAAATTCTAAGGAAAAATATTTCGTCCGTACATTGTCTTTTATTGAACACATGTTAAGCGATAACCATTGTGCTTTCCATCACTATTTATTTTAGAGCACATTCAGCTATGGAGTGCAAGTAACAGATGCTTGATATTAGTAGACTTTATTACACCTGATATTAGTTGGACTGAGGTGGTCACGGTAGGATCTTTGTGATAAAATAATATTACAGGATGATCTCAACTCATTGATGGCATGAATGGACGGACAGTCACCAGAAGGGAATTCTAACAAGAGTGTGGCGATGCAATTAAATAACTATGATGATTCACATCACTACACAATACGTGTGTAGATAATCTACGTCCAATTTCTGAGGGCCTACTCGATTAAAACAGGAATGGTGTGATCAACAGTTAACATTGAAGTCACACCTCACAGTCAGCACCTAACATTGATTACCCCTTCGTCGTATGAAGGTACTGTGCTGCTTTGATTACCGTGTAACATAAGGGACGTTATTACGGAAATATATTAGTAAGAATGAATACAGAGAAGATAGTGAGACCATCACTAAATTGGCTAGTCTATGGCATACGATTGGCTGATGCGCGTTGGTTGTCCTTGATCTCGACAGGGATCGATGAAGTGTTCCATTTTCAGTGACCCAACTGCCGGATGATTTGGCTATGGTTCAGAAACATTTCACTGTCCCTACACACGGAGTCGTGTTACACAAAGCAATAAACTATAAAGAATTAGGAGTCATAATAAGCAGTAATCTAAAAACTACGAGTAACTGCAAGGCTGCTGCTGCAAGAGGCTATTCGTAAGTCTTTTCAGTATTTGGGTGAGGGAATGTTCAGATAATTGTATACGACTTGCGTGAAACCGCATTCGGAATATGGTTTAAAGCAGTGAGTCCCTGTTTCACGTATGAAGCAAATGTGCTGGACGGGGTTGAACGACAATGGGCTGAAATGGCAAGATGTCTGTCTGGCCTATCTTACGAAGACAGACTAAAACACCTCAACTAATTTCCGTTATTTTACCGTAGAATACGGGGTGATCTGATATTGGCTTATTGTATACTGAACGATGAACGTGGTATTAATATGTCCTATCTTTTCTTTCCGTCTAGGACTGACCATTTGAGAGGGCATTCAAAGGAAGTTCAAAAACCGAGATCAAATCGTTTACGTCTGGAGTTTTGTTTCTCGCACCGAGTAGTGAATGACTGGAATTCTCTACCGGAACACGTAATTTCAGCACCTTCAGTTGATATATTCAGAACGAGATTGGACCTCCACAATATTGCAAACTTCAGGGATTAATATAGGTCGATAGACCTCCTATCCTTATTACTGAAGACTGAAAGCCACACCAAAGCGTTTATAATCTCAAGGTCGGTTGACGCTATCGTTTGGTAAGGCGCGATGTTGAACAGAATGGATTTTCATTCTAGTAATCTATCATACCGCGGAAGAAGGTATTTGGTGTTTACACTTTGAAATAGTTTTTTTTAAGGATGGAAATTCTTCTGGTAGTTTTAGCTGTCATCAAACTATTAAAAGTGATATCTGTTTACGCTACGTATGAACTGTTAAAGAATTCTAATCCTCTCACTATATTAATTGCTTTAAAATTTACGTAAGCTTGTCAATAAATTTATCATATATCTCTTCTAGTGCATTACTTATTATGGTGCCACTGCAGAAGCCTTTTAATGGACCTAAATTGAAGATTACTGAGGTCTGTTCATTGGCTATTCGCTGTTTATTTCTAGTGGTTTCACATCTTAAAGTTCTCTTTTGTCCGGCTTCTTATTGATGCTTTTTGGATAGAAGGGCTTATTCTTTGTGGTCCCTTCAGGTGACAAAACTTCACAATGAGCTCTTATTTTCAGGTTTATTTTGTTGTTCGAGCACAGCGAACTTTTAATTCTTGCTTCAGTTGGTACATTTATCTTCGGGTCCAATTGCACTAAAAGAGTTAGTATCTTAAACTTTAAACTTGATCATTTGTAGACTCGAGGGTCAGTATTCTTTGTAATTGGTGTAGTGTGTTTGGTATTTTTCGACCATGATTATAGTCATGGGGAGACGGAGCATCGTATCCTTTTCATTACTTTTTTTACCTAGTGGTATGATATTTATTCTTTCTTTAAGATTGTTTTGACATTTTGTTATCAGTGTTTCGGTAAGCAACTCATTACGTTGATTAGGACTTGTGATAATTGACTGTTTCACGGTTGACATTCACGTTAGGTGACCTTTTATTCCAAAATGCGAGTTCTTGTGTGTGCGAAGGACACAATTCAATGCTGTAATAACTCAGTCAGTCATTTTATTTGTTCAGGCTCCTGTGTTATTGAATGTATTATATAAACTTCGTTCACTATTTGTTGATGCTAAGTTTGCGCTGCTATTTAGTTGCCAACGTTGATGTCAATTTATTGAGCGAGTGTCAGTCAATATTTTATGCAATTCCGTTAGTCGGCATACAGACGAATTTAGTAGTGTACTGTGCTGCGCTAAACTTTAATACTGGAAGAAATTTCAAAATTCTGCATAAACGATTGTCATAAAGTATAGAATAGATATCGTAGTTTAGGCTGAAAAGATGTAATATATTTACAGCTATGAGACGGCACTTCATTTCAGTCCGAATAGTCCTCAAATGATACATTATATCTGCGTTTCCACGATAATTGGTTCCATTATATCGTTTTATTAAGAGATTTCAGGTAGTCTCACTGTCCTGACAATTTCTTAGCATAACATTTGGTCCTTGAGTGATTGATATTTTTTGCAAGCTGCTTGTATTTATGCGTATACATATACGTGGATATTTTCCTTTAACTCCTTTCTCTAATATTGTGTAGCTGAAGGAGTTCATAAAAGTTTCCTAATCCATCATTTATATGAATTATTTGTAAACTTTGGACTCTCAGATCACAAGGTAAGCGACTTATTCTACTTGCATGTTGTGAATTCTCTAAAAGAAGTGACGTGCACTTCTAATGTGAGATTTATTTTATGTAATAAAGTTAAAACGAATATCCTGATAGTCATCACTGTAAAGCAAGATCATTGCTACGATTTTGTGTACTATTCACTTCAGCTATCTCCATTACTAGGTTGATAGTTTGAAAGTTCAACTGGGTATCTTTTTTACTTCTGAAGTCTACTTGGTCATCTTAATCTTCATAAACATTTATTCGACGGTGTTTGTTTCCGTTTTTACCCATTCGTATTAATAGATCATTCCACTCAATAGTAATCTTAACTTTTACTTGTTTGCCCGAGATTCTTAGTTGGATTAATCAAACTAGTGAGGACTAGTGCTGAAATCTAAAACTGTCGGTGTATTCTGCTTATTATTGGTGAATCAGCTTATAAACGTTGGGTTTATTTTGGCGTTTCGTTTATATTTAGTGTGGGTTTCTTGTACCAATTGGCATAGTATCGACGCTTCAAAAGTGATGCACACCGAAATGGAGTGGTCAAGATAAAGTAATGGAACTAACAGTATCATCAGTGATAGTAAAAAAGACTCAGCACCAACACTGTGACCCAAAAGGAAGTTATAATTCGCGAAATAAAAAAATGGAAATTATTCTTGAAAACCAGTTACCTAAGAGAAGACAAAGTGGAATCATTTACTCCATTGCAATTGATTCTAACGCAAACAAATAAATAAAAATAAATTAACTCATTCGTCAAGTACTTGGGTATGAACTACACTTTAAGTGTGAAAGCTAATGATACTGTCCAGCTGTCCGAACCTTAGTAGACTGGACGGGGTCCAAACCTGAGAGTGACTGGAGCCCAAACGCCTTAACCACTAAGTCATTTCTGTTAAACAGACTAAATATCACTTCTACCTTAGCAGAGATGACTTTAGCTTATTTCTTTGATGGTATTGACGACATGTATAAAACTGCATACATTTGGTGAGTTATTGGTAGTTGATTCTAATGAAATACACGAATAGGAATCATTTTAACAGATACCTGATCCCCTTATCTGATATATCCCTTATTCTCATAGTTGGGGAGTTTTATTGGTTGTGAACATAGGCCACGTGGGCATTTTATTGTTTAATATGACTGTCTCAAACCGCGCACTATCAGGTAGTGAGTTGATATGGCCAGTTGTTAATCTATAAGATTGCCTTTGACAAGGGCGACAAATATTCATAAAAATGTAACAGTAGCAGGATGTTTTGCTTGTCAGCTAGCTTGTAAACTATCACCGGTCGATTTTCTTTCCATTCAAAAGGTTGGTGTTGTTGTCCTAATTAGTGCGGTTTGCTTGGATGCCGGGCTAGCTTCAATTTCTAGGACGTTAGTAACATCTGTCGGAGGTGCCAAACGTTTATACAGCCTTTCTGCGTTAATCAGCTTCGTCATATTGATTCCGTTTTTTCTTCTTACTCACTTCTTCAATGAAAACTCCTTCCACACCAAGGTAATTGGGTATATATTTTGAATTCCTTTGTTTGCCTTCATAAATCCTTCCATATTGTTTTAATGTTTCGTAATTAGGTATGAGTTTGCTAGTCTCTCAGAGTATCTAGATATTGTCGAACGTTATCTTTATCTTATGATGGCTTTTACAAAGCATATACCAATAAATTTGTTTTGATTGCTTTCCGTGGTTTGTATATTTTCCACATGTGTGAGGAACTAATTTTTATTGAGCTACACAAAACATCTGCTTAGGGAATTTGTGCTATTATGATTGGGAGCCAGTGGTTCACATGACCCATTGAAGTTCGAAAGGAAGAATGATTTATGATTTTATACTATTCATTGATTTCCATGGGGATACGAAAACTAGCATTATCTCTTTTACGGAAACATTTTTTACACGGAAAAGCTCCAGTAGAAAGGGTTTATTGTAAGTGTCTTCTGTTTAATTTCCTCCACTTTTTCTAATTTTTTCTGGTTAGCTCAGTGCACCGAGTTTTGATTGTTAATTAGTCAAAGTTTTATACAAAACGACTTAATTTTGATGGACTCACTGTTTAATGCTAAGGTAGTCGTTTTAACCCCGTGATCCACTTTGAAGTACATTCAGAAAGTCGCTTTCACTTTATAAAATTTGTTGAACATTCATCAACGGGATATATATAAATTTTAAAAATGCACAGTTCATTCAAATAATTTGTCGCAATACTTATAATAGATCATTCCACTGAAATCTACAGCTGACAGGAAGTTTGTGCAACGACAATACGAGTAATCTATCATACTTTACGAATGAAATTATGTGGTCTTGATTTTTATCTAAGCACAGTGTCGCTTTCACAATTTATCCGTTACGTAATCAGGGTTGGGTGGTGGCTAGCAGAGGAATCTTGGAGCTGTTTCTTTTATCCCTTTCGGAACTATCCGGCTGAATGTAGCAGTATCGTAGTTTTAATATTTACTCCAGAACTCGAAATCAGTTTTTTACTTCACACACTAACGTGTTATCCACTTATCTACTGAATGCAGATAGCCACTGGCACGTACAACGGGTATGAATTATAATCCAGTTTTATGGGTTTGAATCTTCCAATTCTTGGTGTCGCGGAGTGAACATCAACACTGCAATAGGGAGACAGTCAGCTGTTGAGTTTCAAGTAGAATGAAATGCACATCTTGGATTACACTTCGAGCCACTACCCAACTGTGTTTGCGATTAGTGGCAACGTTGAAGCGAGCCGCTCATGATGCACATACCCTAAAGGAAACTGGTCAATTGCCGTCCTTTATACCAATAACGGGAAGATTCAAACTCTTAAAATTGAGTTATATTCATCGTCTTAAGAAATTCAGTAGCTTGTGCCGATAAAGTTCAAAAAGATAAATAATTGCACTTGTTGAGAGAATAGGTCGGCAATGCGTCTTGTTTTAAACGAATCCGATACTTTAATCGGTTCTAAGTATTCAGATAAATGCTTTATTAGACAATGACACCGTCATGACGCCAAGTTTCGAAGGATATCTTGTGGCATAATGTTTTTCTCATTTATGAAGTGTAACATTTGTCGAAGTCTAGTCCCACTTTAAGCCAAATAATTAACTGCGTTGACAAACTCGCTCACCTTAGTTGTCTCGTCAGCTTTGGTAGTTGTTGATGAACGAAATATGAACTCCAACAAGGAAGCTTAATAGTTATCACGTTGCATGCCTAAATGTTTATGAACAGACAAATACATTGAGCACCAATTTTTATTGCTTCTCAACTACTTACCTTTTAAGATACATTATATATGTACTGTGAGTAGAACTAAAAATAATACGTGGTTGTTCTTCGTTTTTATTTTGTTTTTCCCACAGGAACAATTAAATCTTTTGAAGATGGTAGAAAATGTTAACGATCAAATGCCTTCTCATGAATCATCTGGAAATATCCCACAAAGAGATTGGCTATTTTGGATGGTTTATATAAGTACCATGCATGTAATCGATTTCTATATGACCAGTCTGGTCAGCGGGCGACTTGGTTCTCAATCAGTGACTCGTCTTGCTAAACTAACTGTCGTTATAACTAGCCTAATATTCAGGTTGTCCGATTAGTTTCTATTTTTGTTTTAACCTTCATAATATTCATTGCGAAGCATTTTCATGATCCATAGTATGCGTTTAAGTTTATATTTTGTTTGCCGACTATAGACACTTTAAAATGTTGCGATTTCCGACCTTCATATTTCGTTCATAAAGCTTTGTGAGTCTTTCGAAACTAATTCAAGTAAAACTTATGAGCCAAACTACGTATTGGAATTTTCCCAAACCTTTGTTCTACTGACACAAAACCTGTGAGGTTGTTCGTGCTTTTCTTTATCTACTCTAAATGTGTCAGTGAAAAGATTGGACCATG